GCTTGACAAATTTAATCCATGTGATAGGATTGGGTAGTCACAAGGGCCTGGGGATTTTCAGTCCGTTTAAATGAAGTAACCACTACTTTTTGTCATTGAAATCAGAATGCAATGACTAAATGAGTGCAGTCCTTCCAACTGTGGTCAAACTGTTCGCAAGTGATTGTCAAACAACTGAAGATTGCTTAATGTCCAATGCCCTCATTATCAATCCAAGTGTTTGCATGGGATCCTCATTGTGCATCTACAGTAGAATATTCAGGATCCGGCCTTGTTGAATTAAAAAAGTCAGCTCAGGCATCAAAGACCAAAATTTGATGAGATAAAAATCACCCAAATGGATAAGGTCAAATTTAGTGACGGGTTAACAGCAGTTACACCATAACCACTACACTAAACTGTTGGATTTATAATGTTTGTAATATCTTTCTTATATAATAAAATACCAGTGAATGTATAAAACATTTAGGCCATAAATACTATATAGTCACATATCTATGAATTGTACAGGGTTGGCTTGAGCATTGAGTTGCTTAACCCAATAAATTCCATTATGTGGGCACTCTCTCACTGGATCCTTTCTCAGTATGGGGTCCTGTTCAGTATCTTAACTCTGTATCTTTCTTCCTATATGGCCAAATGGGTGTCTGTAAATAGTCATGTGTATAAATGGCCATGTCCTCTGTACAATGGCCCTGTCCCCAGTACTAACTGTCAGATTAAAGTAGATATACTGATCTACTCATTGCAATGAAATCTCAACCAAATGACTCAAATCTAGTGATGTCCCGACTGGTTCGCCAGCGAATAGTTCCTGGCGAACATCGCTTCAGCCTTCCCCCCACCACCCTCAGCATCACCAGCCCTCACCACCCTCAGCCTCCCCCCCACCACCCTCAACAGGAAGGCTGAGGGTGGTGGTGAGGCTGGTGAGGCTGGTGGGGGGGTGGGAAGGCTGAAGGGGGGAGGCTGGGGGGGTGGAGGCTGGTGGGGTGGGAAGGCTGAGGGTAGTGAGGCTGGTGGGGGGGAGGCTGGTGGGGGGGAGGCTGAGGGTGGTGAGGCTGGTGGGGGGTGGGGAGGCTGGTGGGGGAGGCTGAGGGTGGTGAGGCTGGTGGGGGGGAGGCTGAGGGTGGTGAGGCTGGTGGGGGGAGGCTGAGGGTGGTGAGGGAGCCTACCTTCTCTTCCCTGGTGGTCCAGTGGCCACTTCTTCCGGTCTGCAGCTCCTCAGAGCTGCAGACCGTGTAATATCGCGAGACCATCAGAGCGTTGCCGTGGTAACCCGCGGCAACGCTCTGATTGGCCAATTCTCGAGAGACACATGGTCTGCAGCTCTGCTCATTGCGGAGCTGCAGACCTGTGTCTGCGATGGTGGCCGGGCAGCCAGGAGGGGCCTCGCACCCCGCGGGATACCGGGCAAGCCACCGGGCCCCCTACTGGTGTCAGGTCCTCGGTCATAAGGTCTGCCATAAGGCGGTTTAGGCGGCCGCGAGGCTCCAACCGCCTAATTAGAGAGCCGCCTCTGTTTGCGGTTGTTTGCGGTGCGTTAAACGGGGAGTTTGGTCTGTCACTGTGAAGCGGGCGTAACCCTTACACTACCTGATCGATACAACATCATACCTGATGTTTTAAAGCACGTTATTCCAAACAATTTAGGAATGCCAGGTGATTTATGCCCTTTATGGAGTTTTGCCATGGATCCCCCTCCGGCATGCCACAGTCCAGGTGTTAGTCCCCTTGAAACAACTTTTCCATCACTATTGTAGCCAGAAAGAGTCCCTGTGGGTTTTAAAATTCGACTGCCTATTGAAGTCTATGGCGGTTCGCCCAGTTCGCCCGTTCACGAACATTTGCGGAAGTTCGCGTTCACCGTTCGCGAACCGAAAATTTTATGTTCGCGACATCACTACTCATATCTACTTCTACCAAGATGGCTATCATCATTGAAGAAACAACTATACATATGCATTGCTCCTTCTAATGCATAATTATCACAAACTTTAATCTCTAACTTTTTCTGCATCAATAATCTTCATTGTGGGAGATATGTAAGTTCTTTAGACTAAGAGTTGGCAACCTACAGCATGCAAAGCTGCAAGACCCAAACTGACTTGCTGAAAAGATCAGACATTATTCCTAGCATAGGAGATTGTGGTCTGCATCTCCAGTGGGTGCAGAACACTTGCACCTCTCTCATAAGATCCAGGACGTCTGAGTTAATCAGAGGCAGACCTTTTCCAGTTTACATTAACATACTGGCAGCCAATGATCAGCAAGGTTTCAAAGAAGAAAATGGCCAATGCTTTCTAAGAAACATATGGACAAGAGACACAGTATAACTATTCTTTTGATCATCAGACACCCACCTTTTCAGCACCTCATTTTCTGTTATGTGATTGTTCAGAACATAAAGGATGCCAAGAGGTGGGATAAGGAAGTGATGGCTAGAGTGTAAATTTAAACACTTTCAGACATTTGGAACTTTCATTTGAAATGTAACTTGCCCAGAGAAAGAAAACATTATCCATCTTGAGCTAGCTACATTTTAAATGTCATAAAATAAATAAATACATAACAAGAGAAGAATTATATTATGAGGTTTGTGCTGAACTCTACGCTTGGATCTAAGGCTACAAACATGAAGCAAAATCAAGCACTGATGTAGCATTATTTGCGGAGTCAATAGAAATATTATGTCCCAGAGGCTTTAGGTTTGGCACCTACTTGACAAGTCTCAAGATGATGTACTAATAAACCTAAGTGAAAGTGTGATATAGCTCTTTCTTTGCTCCCTAATGTCCCCCATTAAACACTGTTACTTTGATAAAGCAAACAGGATATTGGACTCTTGATTTGTGTTTATTTGTCATTTTATTATATTTCTTCCTGCTTTTTCATTTGCCTGCGGCCAGAGTTGGAATTTGTTCCAGTTTCCAGTTCCACCACGCTGTGGTTTTGTTCCACTTGAAGTGGAGATATGCCTGTTTACATCTGTCTGTCTGTAAGTGTACTCTAATAAACGTATTTTGTACTTTTTTAACATACTTCACCATGTATGGTTCTTTTCATCCATTCCTTTGAAGACATGCCTATTACCAGGATCTACTATCAAGTCCATACTACTATATATACCCCAGGGGGGTGAGAGGCCTGATTTCAACTTCTGTTTGTGAGTTTGCTACTAGCACCTTATTTCCTATATTTATTATACTGTGTTTCACTATGACATGTATTTTTTATTATTCTATATCCACTATTATTCTTGTATAGAATTTTTCAGCCTTGGATTCTATTTTCCAGGTTGTATTCAAATTTTTGTACGCTCATTGGATGTTGTTCCCACTTTTGTTTGTTGTAACACTGTTACTTTACCCGCTTCCTGGGGGTATTTCATCTTGCCCATACATTTTAGCAAGAAGACCACCTGCAGCTTCCTAATCTCACAGGAAATGGACATTTCTTTAGTGATGTAAATATCCTAGATATGAATGCCCATTGTCTGTGGTTTCTTTCTACAGACTACATAGTATGCTTGGCATCTCGGAGCTGTGTTCTTGTATTTCACCAGATAGAAATTAAAAGGCGTTCATGAAGCTAACTCTTTAATGAAGACCCAATGCACCCATGCCTGTAATTAAATGTACTCTGGATTATTACAAACTGCTGAGATTCAGCAGAGCTAAAACATGGCTGAGATGGGGCAAGGCACAACTTTATAGCGACCGTGTTCTCTGTGAATGCATAATGCTGTCCAAACTGACCCCTACAGAAAGCAATGGTCTACTATTTGCTTTAGAAAACAGGAGAACACAATGACTATTAAGCAAAGGATGCAAGCCAATAATACATTAATTTCAAGAGTGCCTGCTATGGGCCTCAGAGGGATCTTTGTAATGCAAACTGAGTGATAAAGCCAAATTTAAGCTCCTTATATTTACTTTGTAAACAAAAGGCTGTTAATGTGAATTGATGGTTTATTTCCAATTATAGAAACAACAGATAATCAAAGCCCTTTAAGAGCTGAGAAATAAGCTACATACTACCCTAAAATGTATTAAAAAGATACAGCACATATTTTTAAAGGGACACAAACCTGAATGTGCTTGTTTTATTTTACTTTGTTTGTTTGTTTGTTTTTTTGCCTCGTGTATTGTAATACACATTGTAATACACTTTTACAATCATAAAACACAGTAGTATTTCAGATTTTGTGAATTTTATATTGCAGTAGAGGTCAATTTATGCCTCAATTTAATAATTTTGGATAGGCATTTCAAAGTATTTCATATTTTCAAAAAATATTTTAATATATATGACATTTTTGATATTTTTAATATTTTGGAAAAAAATAATTGTCACTAGCAAAGCTGCTACATCATGCCTTCAAATATAATCAATACTGGGGGCAGAGCCTGACCGCCAAGCAGTGAAGCCGTGGGCAACCCGAGCTCTCGACTGACGTGCTGAATTCGGGGTAAAATCAGCGGCAACATAGCCCACAGACTCACCGGGTTGCGCTACCCATGTTGGGAGTGTGCCACGGAACCGAAGGACACCCCTCTGAAACCTGTCAGGGCCGGGAGGACGAAAAGCAGAGTGCGGCCTACCAAAGTTGGAACCGGGGAGAGACGGCCGCTCACCCTGACACCAGACGTACCAAGCGACTCCACTGATCTACTACCCCACCCCTATGGACCGGTGGGGGTTATCCCGGTCCCCACTGGGAGAACGGACTGAGGCACCAACCACTACCCCAACTGACTGAACACAGCAGACGCCTCAAGGTACTCCAACCTCACAAAATTGCGGAGGCCCTACCACAAGCACCACAAACTCCCGCACAGGCACGATGGCCAATACCAGACACTCTTGAATCCAGACTGGACGCATTGTTCCAGGCATTTTGGGACAAACTACAGACCCGTGCCACTGCCGACCAACCCAACCAGAGCACGGAACGGGAGGCAGGAGATACCTCTCCGGGCAATATGCTTATCATAACACCTCATCGCACCAACGGCTGCCCGCCAGGGCTGATAGCCAACAGAGGCATGGCCTTGAGACATCGACCACATAAGGGGAAGAACGCATGCTGCAGGCGGCGGATGTCACCCTGATTTTCCAACTGCCCCTTGGGGGACCAGGACTGGGCCGCACGTAGGTACCGAGTCCGTGGACAGAGGGTGTCGACTATCACCACAGCCTGGGGCTGGAGGACAATCTCCTGCACCTGTTGCCCATCGGTTGAACCCGACAATCACCGCAAACAGCCAACTACCCACCAAGCTGCTCACCCTTCCGGGCTGAAAACACCTCAAGGCACTGCCTCCCTGCAACAGCCACGCAAGTGGAAGATCACCCGCCATGACCGCAGTCACCCACGACCCTCCACAAACCTAAGGCAAGGGACGAAATTGATCCACATGAACACCAGGGACAATGGTCTAGCGATACTTACCCTTCTGCAGACCCGGAGCTGGAAGAGAGCCATGAAACGGCACACTGCGGTAGATAACCGTTGGGACACTTGTATCACCTCTGCCGCTACTGGGGATCGGATGACCGAGCGAAGGGACATGCCTGATAAGAGACTCCCCATTCATTGTTGAGGAAGTACTAGCTAAGCTTTGTTTATTTAGTTGCTTCTAATTTTGACCTAATCGGTTGCGCAGTTTACTATTCCTAGGCCCAGAACCCAGTGGTATAATGTTCTCAATGCATGCCAGACTCAATGTTTAACTAGCCTGTCTACTCACAGACACATCTGCCTAGCAATTTTCAGTACGATGTCAATAGCCTGTATAGTCACACGAAAAGTCATAAGATTGTAATCAACGGCTCGAACACAAGAATATAGCACGTCTTGGATAGCAGTCTATGTACATTATGTATACACTACTACTAACTAATCTAACCACACTAGCCTGTTTAATTATCTAGCATATTGTACCCACACTATCTATACTGTTACTAGAGCAGCTTAAGTATTACCTTGACAATTGTAGCTTACAGTTATGGATGTGTTAACAATCTACTTACTCTTTAAAAAAAAAAAATTAAAAAAGAGGCAGAAGCTTCACGGAGATGATATCAACTGTATTGTTATACTCCCGTTTGGAATGTATCTTAACTGTCTCACCTTCTTTCTTCTGTTCCCATGCAACTCTATGCCTCAATAAAAGAAAGATTGACAAATATATATATATATATATAATCAATACTTTAAAAAAAATAGCCATATAAAGGTAAATTTAAAAATCAATTTACTGTCAACCATCTCTCAAAGTAATATACATTAAAGGGTCCTGCATTTCCTAGCATTCAAATGTAGGTATTTTTCTTCTTAGTACTATTAGGAAAAGTAACAAGCTTTGGGGCTTATGCAGCTACACATGCTTAACATGTCAAACTTGCGACCCACAGTGGATATATTTGTGGCCCAATTGCCCTGGGGCCACTTTGTGTTGGGGCTGGGACCAGCCACAGGACAGGAAAGATATTTCCTGTCTGATTCTTGTCTTCCATCCCACGACCGTTCGTGTGCTCCTGCAGGCCAGCCACTCCCCCTTCCCTCCTGCTCGCAGTGCCAGAGGAGAGTCTGGCCTGCTTGAGCAGAGAAGAGCAGAGCTGGAACTGGAGGACGGGCGGCTCATCTTAAGGAAAGGGAAGAGGAGCTTGGGGACCTTCCTGTTTAGTTTCCCCCTGGAACAATAAGGAAGGGGGAGCATGACTGCTGCCCAAGATTGTGGGCTGGGTTAAGGTAGATACATTTGTGTCTAAAGTTGTGGTTCTTAAGGAAAGGGAGAGGGAGGGGACTTACCAGTCAGCAGGATCAGTTAGGGCTCCTAACTGTTTTTCCCACCCTTCCACCCTGTTTCTGGTGTTGTGGCTTGCGTCTTGTTTCTCGTTCTTTGTGTTGTCACAGCTTGGCGGGTTTCCCTGGACAGCGAAGAAGAAAAAAGGAACTTTGGGAAGACGACAGCCTGCACGGAGCTGATGGTGAGGAGCCGGCTGTCGAGGCTCACGGTACAGAATTTGGGAGAACTGCCTGTTGGGAAACACCCAACAACTGGCAGAGTTGGACTGAGTTAAAATTGTTATATTAAATAAAGCTGTGGCCATTGCCCTTATCCACAAGAATGAGGTGTCACGTGTATTATTGGGGGGCAACGGGTTTTGGTCGGGGACTGGTTGGGTCAGCAGTTAAGTATGTTAAACTGAGGAGTGCCCCCCCCCCCATTCTATTAATTTGAGGTAGGGAGGGGGCAGGGTATTAAATTGGAGAGAGGGGCAGTGTATTAATATGAGAGAGGGGGGCAGTGTATTAAGTTTGGGGAGGAAGGGGGGCACTGTATTAGAGTGGTGGTGGGGGGGCAGTGTGTTAAATTGGGGGAGGGCATTGTATTAATTTGGGGAAGGGATTGGGGCAGTGTATTAGAGTGGTGGGAGGGGGCAGTATATTAATTTGGGGAGAGGGCAGTGTATTAAATTGGGGGAGGGAGGGGGCAGTGTAAAAAGTGGGGTAGGAAGGGCAGTGTATTAAATTAGAGTGGTCAGAGTGGGGGCAGTGTATTCAGTTAGAGTGTAGGGAGGAGGGGCAGTGTATTAGATTGGAGGTGGGGGGGCAGTGTAATGGATTTTGGGGCAATGTATTGGATTTGTGGACAGTGTGTTATAATGGGGGGAGAGGGCAATGTATTAGATTAGGTCCGCATGCAAATGCTGAACGCTCCCCATGGAGATGCTAATTGGCTGCACAGCTTTTTGGCACACATGCACAATTGCCTTCCAGTGCTTTCCTATGGGAAAGCATTGGATTAGCTGAGATCATCAAGTCTGATGATCTCAGCCAAAGTGAAGAACACATTCATAGGACTTCAAAATCAACAAGACAATGTCTTTTGTTTTTTACAGCTGTGCAACAGCATACATTCACCATTTCAGTCCAATTTCTAAACTTTTCTTAATATGTCAAGGTAGTTGGAAACATTAAAATAAGTTAGCTCTTTTATTCTCTTTGAAGCCCTACGAGCGTGAGGACATCCAGTGTCAGTTGGGCAACTTTTTTTATACTGTACCTTTTGCAATAAATCTACGTTTTTATGAAAACTGTAGTTTTTGGTTTTTTGCGGCCCACATAAACTTAAACCTTGTTTATTTGGCCTTTGTTTGCCTTTGAGTTTGACATGCTTAACGTACAGTCTTTTTTAAAACTTACAATAGAGCTCAATGATTGGCTGGGGGTACCCAGCCACTTCCTGCTTTATTAAAATATCAGAGAAGTGGGATAGGAGTTTGGTGATGATGCTTTTTTACGTCTGTAAGTGGATTCTTAGTTCATTATTTTTTTTTTTAAAAGGGGTAAAAAAATTTGCAATGTGACCTGCACTGTCTGAGTGCTAGCAGAATAAGCCAAGATTTCTTACCACCTTATTACTCAAAGGGTTTATCATACCCTCCCATGACTCATAAAGAAATAAATTAAAATATATGTAAAAATAGCATGTTGCATAATAGTTCACAGTCATGTCAATACTCTTCCTTTTCATACTTGAAGTAATCCTGCATAATATGTACTAATTCCTTGATTATTGTAATGAAAGCTCATTTGAGATGGGCCCTCAACACCCTCTGTTCCGACGAGTTCAACTTTTCTCGTTGCAAATACTTTCTGTTAGTGCACCTATTGTACAGCGCTACAGAATTTGTTGGTGCTTTATAAAAATAATAATAATAAAGCAGTCTCTTGCCATGAAGGAACCTCTGAGATTCAGTTTATGTTTTACCATAATGATCTTTCTCATTGTTCATGTCTGTCTACATATTAAAATTGCATTGGGTCCCCAAGGGCCCAGCTGCAGTAATCCACTAATCCCTTAACCTGCTGACATTGACAAGGCATAAAAATATAATTTATCATTGTTAATGGCAATATGATAACTAAATTTTTTAGAATCTATGATGGGCAGTTTTCAATCGAACAAGTTATTTAAAGGAACACTCCAGACGTCTACACTATTTCAGCTTACTCTAGTGCTTTATGCATAAAGATGCGTCCTCTTTATTTATCATTTTACAAAAAGTGCAGATTTCAATTGAAATAGGGACCTTTATGTGTAATCTTGTTACACCCCCCTGGCTGTCAGTCTTATAAGTAGTCCTGTTACTTCCTAGTTGTTTAACTCAGTAGAGCTAAACTCAAGAGACAGACAATTACCCAGAGCACCTGTCTTTATAACATTTGTGCTCCCCCCAGTCTCCTAGAGGTGGTGCTGTGTGGGAAATGAGAGAGAGTGGAGTGACATCACATCCCTTCCACTGTTTTACACACATCCAGAAGGCTCCCACCACGTGTGTCAGATGTGGGTGCAAGACAGTGAGTGAACAGACAAGGGGGAGGTAGGATAAGCACCCACTAAAGCCTATATTACCCCCTATAGCTCCCCTGCCCCCACTACAGCTCATACACTCTGCACCCATTACAGCTCTTATTACCCCCTATCTCCTCTGCACCCTTTATAGCCCCTATCCCTGCACCCACTATAGCCCATACTATCCCCTATATTCACTATAACCCTTATGGCCAGCTGCACCCAACACAGACTAGTCTATATTACCTCATGTAGCCGCTATATCCCCTCCCCTCACAACAGCCCCTATTATTATTAATATTATTATTTTATTATTATTTATATAGCGCCATCAGATTCTGTAGCGCTGTACAATGGGTGGACTAACAGACATGTAATTGTAACCAGACAACTGGACTTACAGGAACAGAGGGGTGGAGGGCCCTGCTCAATGAACTTACATTCTAGAGGGAGTGGGGTATAGTGACACAAAGGGTAAAAGTAGGGGTACGATGTAGGTTGTTAGAAAAGTATTAATTGAGGGCTTAGTAGGTAATTTTTGACAGTTGCAGGAGAGGAGTCATGGAGGGTGGGGGATAAAAACCTGCTAACAGTTTAATTGATATGCTTTCTTGAAGAAGTGAGTTTTCAATGATTTTTTGAATGAGTGGAGACTGGGTGAAATTCTTACTGAGAAGGGAAGGGAATTCCATATTATCCCTTGCACCCACTGCAACCCCTATAATCCCCCGCACCCACTACAGCCCCTATTACCCCCTGCACCTACTACAACCCATATTATCCCCTGCACCCACTACAGCCCATATTACCCCTTGCCCCCACAACAGCCCCTATAATCCCCTGCACCCATTAAAGCCCCTATTAACCCCTACACCCACTACAGCCCCTATTACCTTCTGCACCCACTACAGCCCCTATTACCCCCTGCACCCACTACAGCCCCTATTACCCCTTGCCCCCACAGCAGCCCAT